CTTTGTCAAACTTTAACAATACTCTTGGAATTAAATGTTTCAATTATAATTAATATGCATTGATTTTGCCGTCGTTCGACGGCTTTATTTTATAAATTTAAATTAATACAATTATGTATGTATGATTTCAATGGAACGATAATTTGTCAAAACGGATTTACAATTTTATTAGCACTTACTTTGAAAGCTTATTATTAATCATACTAATTAATAGATGCAATAATACACATATATATTTCATATAGAACATATTTTAATAAAATGAAAACCGTTTCTCATTTACATTATTTATTAAAAATTAAATCGATTTCATGTGATGTTAGTTTCAAAATGCATTATTATGAATTATCATTAAGAGAGATTATTACTTACAAAACTTTGTTATTAACATTATGTTCTATTCAAGGATTGGTTTTATGTTGAAAATATTGAAAACTCAATCAAATTATTAGATATTTAAACAGTTTCATCTAAATGAATCATTTTTAAAGGTATTCATATTAATTTCATTTGATGACATTAATATTATAACAGATCTGTATAATTTTGAATATTCTAGTTTGACGGTCCTTGTGTCAATAGAAGCGTCAGAATAATTTCAATTATTACGATGAACGGATTTTCTAATTATATTTTGTAACAGAATGGGGAAATTAATTAAATGTTCTCTCTGTGTGTATGCGTGTGTACGCATTAACTTAAATTGCTTATAAGGTTTTGTCACGGCGCCAATTTAAACTTATCCCATAATCAGAACTGGAAAGTCGCTTTGAAAGCTCCAACTCACACACAACGAGAAAAACTGGACCCTTTGACTAAGTTTTATAAATGCCGTACGGAAGGGTTAAGAGGGAGAAAAAGTAAGAAAAAAAAACGCACCATGTTTCATGCGGAAGAATCTTGCAAGCGAGAAAAGGACCTTTTCTAGTTAAAGTTATCTAGATTACTAGGTCTTTTAAAGTATTTCCGTGTGGAGATTCTACAGTTAAGTGTTTCGAATTAAATATCGTTCATTTAACAATCATTACATTCGTAGGTGATGATTAAAAATGAATGTTTTACATTATTTTTGAATATACACTTTATTTTAAATAAATATTATTAAAATGTAATTACTGCGGAAATACTTATCTATATATTGATTTACTAGACTTTTTAGATTGCGTTGAGTACTGTTAATACGATAATTTAATAAAATAGTCATCATTACATTGAAAAAAATATAACACACTTAATAATATTGGTGGTACTGGAGAAATATAATATTAATTGGACAATGTTTTTGAGGAATAATATAAATTTGAAGCATCTTCTAATATTTATCTTATGATAAGTATATTGAAAAGAATATGAAAAGCATCTTGAAGATTTCATTTTTGGGAGGAAGTGGATTGAATAAATCTTCCGTCCTTGCATAAATGTGTGATGTCCTTTCGTGTAGTGCGGCGCCTTTGCATATTCCCTCCGGATAGGATAATGCCTAGGCAAATGTTTTTAATCTTCTACCGGAAGTCTTGTTCTCTTGGCTGCTACTTTCAGTCGCGAGCTTTTCCCGTTTTAGGATTCGAGCCGTAGCTCGAAAGCGGACAGACCGTGCATATTAAAGAAGGCGCATGGGGCGCCAAGACTACATCCGCCCACCCTCGATGCCAATGTGCGCCTCTCTTATTGTTATTCTTCGCGGCAAGATTGGCAAATGTGCAAAAGACATCGCGAATAGATAAGAAGTTAACGAAGACACGCTGCAAGAGACCACTCTCTCACTCATATTATTCTCTTTTCTTTCGAGTGAAAGCTGTCAGTTTACTCTGTAATTTTATATATATATATATAAAAATATTTGGAAGCTTCTAACTGCATCATCCTGAATGTTCCTTCTTGCATCACATAGTGTATATACATTTGTATTTACTATGAAAATATAAATATGTTTTAAATTTTGCTTTTCACTCTAGAATATAATGTTGAAGCATAAGCTTATGTATGATCTGTGCAAATATGATATTTATTTATTAATCTTTATAATTTCAATTGACTTTAAATGTAATGTAAATTCGTTTTTGATTTACAATCGACAAAACTGAAAAACCTAATTATGTTGAATAAAACTACACTAGCAACAATAATTTAGGTAGATCACGAACACTTTTAAAGTATACAAATTGATATAGCCAGAGAAACGGAGAGAAAAGAGCAACTATATAACATTTTCCTATAATTACAATTACGAATTAAATGCGCGCATTAAATGCCAACACAATTATCATACATAATCAACTTTTTAATTACATTGCCCGCAATTTATAATTTACATTAATATTACAAATATGGACGTACATTATTTAGAATTAAATAATTACGTATAAAATTGGCGGCGATTTTGTATTGATTTACCCAAGCTTAATTGTACTTTATTTTATAAGTAATCGATTCCTAGTATTTTCTACTTAACATACATTTGCAAAGAAGACAGTTTGATTTACTTATTCAGTGTGACTTGGAATATAATAAGTATGATAGCCATGATGAAAACGGAGGAGATTAAGATAAGATGCGAACACATCGGGTGGATGGATTAGGAAGGGGAAAAAAGTATGGCAGTATAAGAAGGATAAAGTATGTCTTTATAGCGAAAGCCTCTTCACTGTGAGATGTGTGAAGTGGATAATAGCGAGCAGATGCTGATATAACAATTAATGATCTTTACGTTACAAAGTATTCAAAAATTCGTTTATGTATTGTATCGAGAATGAAAATAGTATATACTAATACTATAACTTCAAAAAGTCCAACATTGCAGAAACATATATTTATTTATAAATATGCTATTAGATATATATTCCTGTTTTATCTATCAATTATTAATCCGTTTTGAATTTTCCGTAATTGATGTGTTTTTACGGTTACACTTTCGTGATTGTTTCCAATTGGGCGTGGGTGTGCAAATTGAAACCAAACGAAAGTGGGACATAAAAAACGAAACGCGGACAGATTTCATTGCGAACGTGACAGATTTCGGACTGCAAAGTTTTCCGGCAATCCCGTGTGGATTAAATGGGTATCATTTCGGAAGCCCGGTTTTTCTGCATTAGCATTACACTTAAATCTGCATTTTTTATAATTAGGCGTTGGTGAAATGATGATAATATGATGGAACTTTTTTGCAGCAACATAAATTTAAACTTGAACGCTTGAAGAGGACGAAGCCGAGTTGTGGGGAGGGTGTGCACTTCGTGAGTGTATTGGAATGAGTGGGTGAGGATGTGGTGTCTGGGACAGCATCTAATGAGTGCACTCAGGGTAGAGAAAGGAGTGTTTCCTCATCCTGATGATTGCATCCCTCCCTGCCTCTGTGAATTCGAAACCCTTCATATAACACATACATACATACCTACCAGTGACGACTACGGCGGGTGATGGATGTTTTTATTGCAGCATTTTAGTACAGCACGATCCAAAAGTGTTGGATTATATCTTTAAAAATGTCAAGATAATGGAATATTGATTACTTATTATTAGTGATATATTGGCATTCTAAGTAATTAATTTGATTTTAAGCGATCTGCTGTGATAATATAAGTTATATTCACACATATTCTCGTTCTGGTCCATCAGCTTCGATATTCGATGCACCGGTGTACCTGGTGGAGTGGAAGGGCGTTTACACAGGGGTCATGATTAATTTCCGTTCGTTGGATTACTGCAGACTCGCTGTCACTGATGTTGTTATTGCTTAACAAGGATTATCGATGAAAATCCGTCGGAGGTCCGAAAAAGAAGGCGCTGGACAAAGCGGCTCATTAATTACCTGATAATATGTCCCCGGTAATTTATAAAGGGACATTTTTTGTGCGTCGTAATTAGAATTTATGTTGATGAATGGAACAATTGACGAATGCCCAAGTGTAGGCAGCTATAAATCAAGGCCGTACCATTAGGTCTCTAAGCGCTGGAAACAAGTGCATTGCAAATGTGACTTTAATGTTTTTCAATTAAGCTTAATTCCAGGACGGAGGAGCGCAAAAAATACATTGAAAAAGAGGAGGAAAAGAGGATTAAGAAAGCGAAGGGAAGTGGGGGTTGTTTGTTTCAGCGTGTGGTGGGTCGATGAGTGTGTTTAAGGAAGGTTCCTACAACTGTTTTGCTTAATGAGGCGATAAGTGTGCAACGTCCATGTCGTGAATGCCCAGTCTAGGGCCATGCCCGGACCTAGGCCCAAGCCCAGCGAGCGGAAATGGATATGCATCGTTTGACCTCAGTCGCAGGGCTATAAATCGGCTGAGGCCATAACGAAACCACTCTAGGATCGTCTCGGCAGAATGCCAGGACCCGTTGCTGCCAGTTTTCGCTACACATTAGATACTAGTGTATGCCTTCGATTCCACAAATTAGTATCGGCCCTATTATGAATGCCTTAACTATATCTGATGTGCTGCAAATGCTCAACTATATTCATTAACATTATCTCCTTTCGCCCGGCACACAAAGATGCAATCCCGGAGTTTAGACATGGAGAGAAGTTTTACCCACTAAATTGCAATTTATAGTTTTGGACATGATCTGGATACCAAATTCACTCTAATACACACAACACATATTAATATATTCAATTCCATTCAATACTACAGAACACACAAAACAATTATATATATAAGAGTCCAATAATTCCAACCAATTACCTGATTCTATTCACTCTGCACAACTAAGGCTAATTTAATTGTGACTTTATAAATCGAGTATAATAGCATTTTTTCATCATCAAAATAAAGCCAATCGATCAGTTTGCATCATTACGTTCCAGCCACGCGAAGACTCATTATATTGGTTACCTATCCGGACACTCCAATAACCATTATAATTTTGCACATCCCAGATACAATTCGTACTGATATGCAAACGGATTAATCAAACAATTGTTTCTCAAGTTTTAATGATTTTTTTACAAAAAAAGAAATAAAGACACCGATTAATTTTATTTAATGAATTGTAACGTGGTAAAATAGACAACGCTGCAAGTGCGCTCCACGTTGCAACTATGTTTCCAAAAATTCGGGGAGACCGCAGTGAACCGCGAAAGAAGACGGTTGAGGTCTCCAGTTTGAGAAAAAATTATAGATATATTTGTAATCTCCAAGAGGACGGTGTTGGTGCTCTAGAGGAGCTAAGGCCCACCGTCGGAGAAGAAGTTGCTGATCTGGAAGCAGTTGTTAGAGTTCTTCCTCTCTATAAAAGGAAGTGGCGCCCTGAACCTTCCCACGTCACGGACTCACGCCCTAGCCGGCTGAAGATTGGTATATCTTGTTTTTTTATGTACACGAGCGCTATCGTGTTACAGAATTTATGTTTAATATATAAACAAACTAATATTTTAAACTTCAAGTATATACATAACGATCTGTAATTTATTTGCAATGAAATAATGTTATAATAATGATAAAGTAAAGTAGAGTTGATTGTAATTATGAAAAATGCAAGGATGAAGGTATTATCGTTCTCCATGAAAAGGGGTCGTTCGTACTCTTCTTCACTGTTTCATTCTCCATCTCTCTCTGTTTGTATAAGCATATATGGGAGTATGTTCGTATATGATGATGAATTAAAGGATTAGAGAGGGTGGTGGATGTGTGATGTCGTTCGCTAATTATTTCGGTCGCTTGTTGGGGTTGTTTCAATTATCTAGATGGTGTGCAAGTACAACGTGCATTGTTTTTGTTTCAGCTAGTGCAGTGTACTCGATCGAGGCCGTACAGGGTGGCGTGGCGAAACTACCCTGCGACATCGCCCCTTCGTTACCCGGGGACAAGATGAGTATAGTGATATGGTACAAGGATGGCACGGCCCGTAAATCACCCATATACTCGTAAGTACAAAAGCTACGGTAGTGAAACCCCACTTCAAATTCTTCATCCCTCACCCACCCAATCATCCCGTCACGATCGTACCGTAATTGCATTATCCTCTCGACGGTATTTTCTACAACGGTATTTCCGCGGATCCGCTAATAAAAATTCCATTTCAATTAATATTTACGCACGGTTTGCAAAATTGTTATTTTCATTTCCAAACATCGCTTCCATTCTCATCTTCATCAAATATACCAGCGCATTACGACGGCACATTCATCACCAGCATTCTTAAACGAACTACATTTCGTTTATTTACACCAATTCCTGGTAATCCGAAACTTCCATTACGCAACAATGGAATCGTGATAAAACACTAATAGATGGTATTAGGGTATTGAATGGTATTCCATCACAATACACCGCCACATCTATATATATATTAGTTGCAATCTTCTAAACGTGAATCAACGTTAATTATGCAATTGCAACTTGGAGCCGTCTTAATTAATCAATTACTTTGTGCAATGACAATGTATGCCATCTGCGAGAACATCTCCTTATGCAACATATATGAGCACGCAATTCACGCTAATTCTGCATTGAAGTCAAGTACTTCATTATCATACCACATATGTATTAGTATCTACGCTTTACACCTATTCATATTTTCAGCATAAAAGTTCTTAATATGGAATATATCTATAAAAATAAGTATAATTAATGTCGCAGTACACAAAAAAATGAAAAAATATATCCCGGCGCATTCACCACATTCGAGTAAGAATTAATTTTCTAAAATACATAATGAATTTGATCAATTTATCCTTAATATTCTCCGTCGTTGATCGTTCACGTAATGTACACGGAATTCTCTGCAACACATGTACTAAGCAAATCTGAATTACGCTCAGGTAATGTATCAACGTACAGACGTAATGGGACTAAATGCTCACTGTTAACTTTGCCAATTAAATTGAACAACCCATTACAAATCTATATACTGTATCGAACACCAGCGATATCCCACTGTCACATGTAAATTCGATAATACGAACACAGATACAACGGCACAAACTGCTGTGACAAATGCACGCAGTTTTTGTTTCACCTTTTTATTGTGTTTCACTTTACGTTTATCCAAAAAAAAAAATCGAACGATGAGAGCGATCGAATTAATGCGAATTGTAAATATAAAACACGAAATAAAAACGCTTTTCAAACACGTCATATATATGAACAAGCAAATTTCAATTATTATTTTATTAAAATTTTACATTAACTTGCAGATTTAATAGTTTATCAGCACTTTAATAATTCATTTTATGTATTTCTGAAAGTTTTATAAATATTGTTTAAACTAATATTATTAATGTATAAATTAATTATATTATACATATTAATCAAAATTAATCTAATTTAGTATTCAAGAATGCAATGGTATTTCATTTAAATTTTCTAAATACACAGAAATAGCAGCACTTGCACGTTTCCATTATTTTAGCACAAGCAGAAATCCTTAATGAAGAACACAAAAATTAAATGTTGCGATTCATTTTAACATGCTACTGCGAATTCGCAGACAAGCGAAATAATTGTTTTCACTGTTTGCAAATGGATTACAAGCTTTTATTTTACATTCGTTAACTTGCAATATACAGTGCAATCTTGCGCTTTATAAATTTATGTGAAAATTGCTTTATAAACATCTATAAGTAATATATATATATATTACAAAATATTCTATTAAATCATTCAATTTAATTCAAAAATTATTTACAAAAAAAAAATCTATGAAAAATTTAGCATTTTTTGCAATTTTTAATACACAACGGAAATTATAGATGATATATATTTACAGAATACTTTACAAAACTGAGAATGGATATTTTTAATATTTGCTATTTATTGCTATTTATTTCTATTATTTCTACTATACCTAAAAATAACTCAAAATGTTGGACAAAATAAGTTTTAGCTGTAATTGAGCATTTATATTATATAAAATGATTTGGATTGCTCGTGTTAAATTGAAAATTGTATGTATGTAAGGAGGTTGGTAATAATGCGAAAGAATTATGATTGGAGTGTAATAGCATGGATATAAATTGGAATCTGTGGCATTGCTTTGTATCCAGGAGAGGAGTGGATAATAAATCGTCACTTAACCATCCATAAAACTTGATATATAAGCTACCGGATTCCCCTCGGGGAGCAGCTAGTGAAATACCTGGGTAGTCTGGGCGTATAATGTTATTCCATTTCAATGAGCCCGGAGATGTCTGCAAGAAAAATCCAGCACGGTTCGTTCGGCCGCAAACCAAAGCAGAATTATTAAATAAATTCCGCGCCTGGAAATGCTCCATCGCCGAATGGATAGCTTTTTGATAATGCCGTGAATAATGGACTCGCACGATACATACATACAATCAAGCCCAACAAAAGCATCGACCATAGATTGAAACTTTTCACACATTTCCGTGATTTGTGCCCCAACGTTTCCCCATCAGATAAATGCGCATAACTTCAACTATTATCAATTTATTTCATTCCGATTTCAATCAGACCACAGTGCATTCGTGTCTACTCTACTACAACTTCTGTCTTTTTAAACTATTTCCTGTGGCGTTTAATAACAAAGCTCATTACTTTCATATTGACCAACCTCTTTCTACTCATGTAATATGACCTTTTTTACGATTTTCCAGGTTCGATGCCCGCGACAAGAAACCAGAGGAAGGTAAGCACTGGGCTGACGAAGCGGTGTTAGGTGGAAGAGCCTTTTTCCGATACCAGGAGGAACTTGCCAAATTGACATTAGATAACGTCAAAGACTCCGATGGAGGAGTCTATAATTGTCGCGTCGACTTCAAGCAAACTCCAACAAGGAATGTTAAAGTCAATTTAACAGTTATAAGTGAGTTTCATACATTATTCTTGTAGTAGTTAGCACTCAATTAACGTAAACATAAATATATATTTCAATATTACTTGATGTTATTTATTACTAGTAAAACACATTTTAGAAACTAGCTACTAAAATGTGTAAAATTTAAATCTTTCGATACTTTCTATATCTTCATTTCATTGGTATTGTTAAATATTGTAATACAGTTGAACCTCGCTTAACGAGCATCTCGCATAACGAGCATTTCGCTTAAGGAGCAAAATAAATTGTACGAAAAATGACTCGCTTAACGAGTACCGGATTGCGCGCCTGTTACATCATTTTTAAAAGTTTTGTACACATTTTTGAATACGTTTCACTATACGAGTAAATATCCGGAAATTTAGGAACGGATTAAACTCGTTAAGCGAGGTTCCACTGTAGTTATTAATTGGAAAAAATTCTTACGATCAAATACAATAATTAAACGGCATTCTTATTTGAATTAAATCATTGACATTTTTGAATGCTGTAGAGCAATGACGTATGTCATATTAAGACCTTTGACATTTGAGTATTTTAAACATCAATTACAAAACAATTATAAAAAAATGAATTTGATTTAAAATATAAACACGTCTGAATGTAATGTATTTAATGACGACGTGCAAACGGCTGTGAATTCATATTTCAGAAGACATTTAACTGGGTTCCGGCACTCGCTCAGGTAATAATTCAATTACAGACTCAATCAAGTTAACTTTGAATAAACCGAAAATTTGCTAATCCGATTTTAACCCGTTGCCTCGCTAAAACCGAGCACGATTTGACCAGACATCACGCATTCAGATGATTGAAATTAAAATCTAAGGCCAACAATTAATTCCATCGGTGTACCCAAATTTAAATGAAATAGGAGCATCTCCACGTCATGTCAAAAAATAGTATGAAATTCGATTAGTTTTTTACAAACTTGACAATTATTTCAAGAAACAGCACGAAAATTGTTTAATTAACAACGTCTATTGAAACGAAGTAAAATTAAATATAAATGCACAGGAATTAATTGCGTATGGATGAAAAAAAAACTAACCGCTAACCACGATGGATGAAATCTAAGTTTCTTCCTCTCGCGTTTCAACTTCTTACGTGCACGAGGTTCAACCTTTTTTTATCTGCGGTGAAAATGGGAATGTATTTAAGTAAAACTTGCGTAATAAATCGCAAGCAACGAGAGGAAACGGAAGTTCTCTATCGATCAGCAAGAGCCATTCCATCCTGGTCATAGTTCTTTTCAACGGGAACCAATCGATCGATAATAAATTACAATTCAAATTGCAAAAAACAAAAGATGTAGTGGGTAGGAATAGTTTCATAGTAAATTATTATCTTTGCGAGCGCGAGTTTAATTCTGAATTTCGTCGCAGTGAAATTGTTTGAAAAAATAAATACACCGTAAGCAATTGCCAGTATTCACCTTTCGACGTTTCCTTTAATTACTTGCGCCGCTTAAAGCGAGGAAATTGAATCGCGTAATCCGACCATTCCGGGAACATTTTAAATTACTGCTGTTTGTGCCGAACATGACCTGTTTCCTGTTACCAACACCAACTCAAACTTCCCCCTCTTCAATATGTAATTAATCGGCTATTTAAGGATGTTTTTTTTATATTTCCCAAGCGAAAGCTTTTCGGTTGTTCCTCGACGAAAACATTTTTTTTTTACTCATTTCCGAGGCGGGTGTAAAAAGGAAATTACGTCGATATATTACTTCTCGCTTCAAGTATGAATCGATCAACATAATTTGTATGCACGGTGCAGAGTTAATACGATTATCCGACTCATTTCAAACGCAATGAATTTAACCAGTTGCAAATTGTGAGCAATGCGCATAGGTTACATATGTTGCTTTTGATCCCGAATGATTAACATTCTTTTTTGAATATCCCTAAGCTTAGTATACACAATATACAATGTTCTTATAATTAAAAAAAAAAGACGAGCTCGTAATTAGTAGAATTTAATTGGATTAAACATGCGGTGTTAATCGCTGTATGCTTTGAGGCTTTCAATTAATTATAACGAAAGTGCGTCAATTGTTATATTAATTAAACTACAAACACAAGTATTACTAGTGGGAGAAAATCATTCACAGTATATCCTGTATCAAAGTATGCACTAACAAAATCTACAATTAACAAGATAAATTTAATTTAATAAAATTAAAAAATAATTCGCAACTAATTGTATGTTGAAGTATTGCTAGATTTAAATTTGGCACCATTTCTTCTCTATAAGTTCTACAAATTTCATATGTGCCATCTATCCATCTTACGATTATTAAATATGTAATACTACACGAAATATCAACGCGTTAATATTGTAATGTTTTATAGTTTCTTAATTTCGTGGAATTTTCGGTAGAAATAATAGTTGAAATGAGTCATCAAATCGAATATTAATTTAAAAATAAAAGAGGAAACTAATTCAATTCTGGACAATGAATCACCTATGAGTCTTTTTATTGGGCATACACTCGAAAACATTACATAATAAGTATTAACGTTCCAAGGCACCTTACAGAAAATTTTCGTGAAAAAGTGACCAAAGAACTTAAAACTAATAGATTGTAACAAACAATATTATACAAAAGTAATATCTAAATCCGTCGTTCTGGGACAATAAAGTATTTTATTTACGCAGTAAGAAGATTTTTTTTAACATTTTCCAGATTTTTTTTGATTGATTTACCTTATTCTATAAAACATATCTCAAGTCTAACATATAAAATGCTATAATCTTTCATTATTATGAAATTATATTATATTGGTTGGTTACAATTTTTTTTATATATTATATTAAATATTGAAGTGCCTAATATCAAAGTTGTGCATGAAATATGGAAGGAGTAACGGATTGAAGAGGTAATTTATTTATGAAAAATAAATGTCCGGTCCCGAATGAGATGTCTATAAATTATTAAGCGTTAAGTGGGGCCGACCGGGAAAAAGCATTGTTGGAAGCGGCAGGAAATGTAATTTTTACAAGATAAGGGAATAAATTCGGGATGATATTTCCGCATTGTAATTCGCGAAATGTACGAATTGTTCTTGATTGTAGTTGTAAATGTGTAGGCGGCGGAAAACTGGAACGCATTTATATAATAAAATATGGCGACATGTGAAGAGATTTGGCCCGGTCGCACCCTCCTCGCAGCGACGCTCCCATACTCTCTTCCTGCATCCATGCCCCCATCCATGTTTGGTTTATTTTTGCCCAATTTACATACTGTAATGAAATTCTGTTTGAGAAAGAGCTGCGCTGACAAGATCCGCTTTACAAATCAAATTAACTTTTAATAGAATATTCCATCAAAGATCCATGCACATATCCATACAAATATGTATATATATTCTGAGTTGACTGAAATACATGATTATTAGACAAAGTACGATTAGCATTCAATAAACGAGACCGGCGCCGCCACCATAAATTTGCGCGCGCGAAAAACCAGCAATGCGTCAACTCCCCTACCGTTTCAGGAATTACCTGCATGTACATTTTCTCTTTTTTTTTCAATCGATTTGGCAATGATAACGTTGTCTCTAATGAAAAATTTATTTTATATTTAATATTTTATAAACTACCGAATTTATAAAACAGCTCAAATTCTGACACAGTTTATATATCTGCCACAAACTTAAATTACGAATCAAAATTGATTTTCACAACGTTAAATTTTGTATACATATTTTTGTATTTAGTTGTTGCTTGTTAACAACATTTCAAATAATATTTCATTCAAATTGTCAGCACAATGTGTTACTGTACCTCGCCTTTCCAATGTCGTAATGTCGCCTTATAACATTAATTATTGAATTATATGCAATGTATCTTCAAGGTGTTACTAGATATAAATATATATGAAATCGTATAATCAAGAGTCATAGGTTCATTATTTTTACACTCAATTAAAGCTTGTTGGAATCCAGTTTAAATATGTATATGTATTTTCGTTGTCGGGTTAACCCAACAAAACTAATCAACGAATTTTCCACAAACTGCCGTTAATATAACTAGAATTTCATATAAAACGCGTTATTGCATAAAATGATAAATAATTAGTTTACTAAAAATGGTTTCTTTTTATACCAATCATCAAATTAAAAATTAAAATTAAATTATTTCAAACTTATTATTAATAAATTTAATAATTTAACAAATAAATAATAATGCTAACAAATCGTAGATATAAAAGTTTTCGATGTTGAAAGTAAAATATATTTTCACTTGTATCGTTCAGCGCTTCATTTGCATAACAACTTACTCGTATGAACTGCTCGAGTTTAAGTAATGCATCCGGTCTATTCGAAATTATTGCTTATTCATATTTCAAGTTTATGATTTTAACAAGTTATAATTTAGTACCTCAATTGCAGGGATATTATAGAATTGCAGAATTTTATAATTGTATTCGATCGACTGCTTTCATTACTAATTGCCTCAGACAAATGTAAAATAAATTAATTTATTAATATTCATAGTATTTCCGATGAAGATACATATAACTAAATAAAGCTAAAGGGTGACCCAACATGAGCGGGTCACATCCAGCAGTAGCATCCAAATATCTACCATATTAAAAAAATGGAGAATAGCAGTTAACGAAATGAAGTCATATACACGGACTTCATTTCGTTAACTGCTATTCTCCATTTTTTTCCACATACTCGCTAAAGAAAGACACCTGCCCAACTCTAAGACTTAATGGACAAGATCTGCCCAAAGTAACAAAAGTCAAATATCTAGGCATGCATCTAGACAGAAGACTCATCTCCTGGAAAGATCACATTCAGGCTAAGAGGGAGCAATTAGAAATAAATATCTAGGCAAACTCATTTGGAAAGACCACATTCAGGCTAAGAAGGAGCAATTGGAAATCAAGTTTAGAAAACACTACTGGCCATTGGAGAAAAG